CCCCAAAACCCCAAAACCCCAAAACCCCATAATGAATATTTCATGAGAGTTACGTTTCGGCTTTTTTAAATAGAAAATGTTGTTAATTCATTAAATTAAAAATGTAAAATAAAGGCCATCATCATCACTTCTTGTCGCATCAAGCATACCTCAAATTTAAGGCTTTTCTGGCTAAGCTGCCAAAGACGAAGGAAGATGTCAAGCATAATTTACATGTAGCCATAAATACTCAATTAACTTTTTAATATTAATAGAGTTTCTAAAGAATCATCGAAAATATTGAGCCTCTTAAACATATAAGTTAGATGACTGAACAGCAGGTAAATAATAGGGTTGATGTATTATAGTTACTTCGATACTGCACATTAAAAGTTATCAAGGAAGGAGAAGTTATTAGAACCTAAGAATCAAGTATTCAAGATTTTATCGTTGTTTTAAAAGGTAAACTTGAGTTATTATATGTAAAAAGGCTAGATGCAATGGGTGAAATTGTAAGTTTGTTTATTCAAATATGAAGGGATTATCATATTTATTCAATTATAACATCCAAAAATACATTTATTGATTTATATAACTATAGACAAAGAATTATGAAGACTTTGAGTAAGAAGTAGTTATTTTGAATTAGCACGAATATTTAATACCACAGAAAAGCAAAGAATATGAAAATGATAAACATAGATTAATACAAATTAAAAATACTTAAAATCCTGCTGAAGTTGGTATAGATGGAAACGAAGCTGAGATACTAATTTTACCCTACTATAAATATCAACTGGTTATGAAGGTGAGTATCAGACCTTATTTCTTATTTATGAAAAATACATAGAATATTATCTTAAAATTGAAACCAACATTACTTAATTTAATTAGGAGAGATTGACTAAATAGCATTAAATCATTGATATGCTTTGTGAGGTATTAAAAGGTCTAGAAAATTTTACTATTTAATAAAAAAGGAAAGCTTAGGAATTATTTGAATTGGAATTCTTTGATTAAAAGGACATAATTGTTAAAGAGGGCTAAGAAATCACTCATTGCTACATAACCTACAAAGGTTTGATAGAAATAACTTCCCAAAAAAATCTCTACGCAACTTTTTCGTAAGATATACTTAAACATTAGATCATGAAATAGTTAAGAAGAAGATAAGGATTATCTGACAATGTGCTAATTTTATAAGAACAAAGCAAGTGGAATAGGGAATGCATCTAGCTCTTTAATGATATAAAACCTTGGTCAGTTTACATAAGGCTTCTGGATTGGAGAAGAATTCCACCAAATTCAACATTAGAACATGAAATCCTTCTATTAAGCATAGTCATTGACCGATTCAATAATGTTTGTTATTAAAATTGAGCACCTAGATAGACTGCCTATTGAAATACTAGAGTTAATAAGAAAATCAACTTCTAAGAAACTAGAATAATTTTAGAAGAGATATTAAAATTTACATAAATAGACACAAGTATTTATTTCCTAGTAAAATAAAGAGGTTGAAGGATTTTAGTCTTAATTCAATAAAACATTTGATCACATATCGAAGATTTATCCAGTAGCTACAGGCAATCTCAAAATAAAGTTAAGGAACGAAATACTCTTAAATTCGTAAATGAGGCCTGGAGTTTTGCTGATGAAAAAGAATGATAGATTAGAGAAGAGTGCAAAAACTGAAAAGAATAATAAGACTATTCCAAGTTCATATCAACTCTTCGCTAAGAGGAACTAATACAAAGGGGACCTTAAGAAGTATAATGCAGAACTATTGGAGAAGGTATTTAACAGGCATAAATAACCTGCAGGTGATCATAATTTTGATGAAATCAGAGAAATAAAGAATTAAGTTAAGAATTAAAGAGTGATGACTTCTCACCAGCCTTCAAGGGTAAATAGTTCAGGAGTCAATTCTACAATGACTTGGTCTCAGTCTCCTCTTTATGGCAAAAATTAGTTCAGGTAGTTTTTTGCACATCAAAGAACTGCCTCAGAAACATTTTCTGCCAAGAATACACCAATTAGGTTGAAGAATAAAAAGGCCTCTTTGGATTACTAATTCATAACTCAAGAGGAACCGTTGACATTTGATGATGTAAATTTGTAGTATCAATCCAATAAGTAATGCTTACCCCATCAGACAATTACTGATTTTAATGAAGTAAATGCGAATAATACAATAAATAACGACATTTCTTAGTACAAAGATAGAGGAAGGTAAAACATGAATACTGTTTAAGATCTTTAATCACATACTTAGACCCAAATACTGAGTTAGATAAACAGCCACAATAGAACTCAAGTAATTATGGGGCCAACTAGAGCAATTCACACTAGCTATGCTATGTCTAAGCCATTGACAGGTGAAAGAAATTTGAGAGATATGCTTAACAGAACAGCTATAAATAATACACCCTTTACTAATATAAACATGATTAATAATTTCACTCCGAATAGATCATCGTCAAACAGAAGAAAGCCTGACTTTATGGTGGGCAATAAGTTGTATCCTGACAACCTATATCAAAGAGATATAGTATCAATAGGAACGGCATCGACACTTAAATCTTACTCTACAAAATAGAAAAAGATGGGATTCAATATCAAAATAAAAACAATAAAATAAAGGTTTTCAAGTTTGGTTGTTGAATGAAAATAGTGAAATAAAAATGAGGCTTATTAAGAGAAGTTTATAAAGGAGGATCAAAGGTATTAACCTTTGTTTATCATATTTATTCATTATTAATTTCATGATGTTCAATTTAAACATTGATTAAAGGGGTTTTGGGGTTTTGGGGTTTTGGGG